CATCTCGGCATCTTACCCTGGGCCCGCACCTGCTGCCCGGGACACTCCTACAGGCTGGAGAGGCTCAGGCTGCTGACACCCCCGCTCTCCCAGACCCCCAAGGCGAACAGCCTGACCCGACCTGCGTGTGAGATAACATTTCCTAACAGAGAAGCCTTTGCCACAGCGTCCAGAGCCCCAGCTCCGCAGCCGCGAGGTGAGCGCCTGCACATGGGAGCCCGTGGCCACTGCCAGGGGAGTCTTTCCGTCAGCGCCCGCCTCGTCAGCTTCTCCCTGGGCCTCCGCTGTGTCTCCTTCAAATACCTGCCCCCTCGCCCGTCCATCATCGATTGCCTGGGGCAGCAGCCACAGGACACAGTTCTGAGAAAAGACCGTCCTGCCTGATCCTGAGAAACCCAAGGGGCGGCTCTGAGCCAGCCCCAACCACCCCCCCCACACACACACACCCTCCCCCGCCCGTGGGAAGGATGAGGAGCAGCTGGGGACGGTCTGGGGTGGGAGGAAGCGGAGGAGGAGTGGGACCCAGTGCCCAAAAGGAGCTATATGAGAAGGGGCTCCGGCCCAGGGAGTCTTCAGGCTGATGAATCCGCGGGGTTAGGAAGACAGGAGGAGGAGCAGGGCGAGGCCTTCTGGAAGGTCACATTCAGTGCGGGTGGTCCTGCTCCTGTTCGAGGGCAGTCCTCCTCCCTCCGCGCCCCATGAGCTCACATGTGAGAGCTACACAGAGTTCAGGGTCAGGTCCGAGGGGCCTGTGTTTAAATGGTCCGATTTCCACTGCCTATCACCAAGCTGTCTTCCGTTTTCCCTCAAATACCCCAGCTGGCTGCTTTCGCAACCCTCCTTGGGGGAGATGCCTCAATCGGAAAGTGTGAATTGGTGATGCCTGCCTCTATGAGACAGAAAACCAAGTGGTTTAAGCACGTGTAGCCGGATAGGACCCGGAAACGTGACTGCCCCGTCGGTGATGACACTGGCAAGCGACAGCAGGGGGGCCTGGGACCATGAGCGTTTGGTGAAACCGGTCGTTGGAGGGAGCGGCCCCTCTGGTCCAGCACATCCTTTCGCTCGGTGTTTCTCTGCTGAAACGTCAGCACTGCCCGTGGTTCCGCTCATTGCCGAACGTCGCAAACTTGAGGAGACATTGTTAGTTAAGAAGCTCACCTCATTCTAAGACTTGACCAAGCTACCTAAGCTCTTGAGAGAAATCCACACACAACAGACACCTGCGGCACCACGCTCTCCTTTCCACCAGGAAGAAGCTCCGGCCCAGGGGAGTCTTCAGGCTGATGAATCCGCGGTGTCAGGTGATGGACAGGAAGTAAACAAAAGCACTCATCCAAGTGCAGGAGACTGGCTTCCAGACACCAGGTCGGGGCCCTGTGGGCACAGCCAGGGACTGCCTCCCTCGCCATCCTACTGCAGATGGCCTGGTTTCTGAATCAAGGTGCTTTAGATGACAGACCACCAAATCTTGGAGAAAACATGAGCACATGAATTGTCCACCTGGCTCTTCTCCCTCCCTGGCCCTGGCAGCATCAGCAGTAGTGACATCAGAGCCAGGGCCCAGGTGCTGGCTGGGCTGTTCATTCATCTCCTCGTTTAAACCTCCATAATATGCCCAACCAGTGTGGCTCAGTGGTTGAGCAGCGACCTATGAACCAGGAGTTCATGGTTCAGTTCCCAGTCAGGGCACATGCCTGGGTTGTGGGCTCCGTCCCCAGTGGGGGTTGTGCAGGAAGCAGCCAATCAATAAGTCTCTCTCATCACTGATGTTTCTATCTTTCTCTCCTTCCCCCTTCCTCTCTCTGAAATAAGTAAAAACGTTTTTTTAAAAAGATTATAACTGTGCAATTTAAGATATACTGTATATTAAAATAATAATAGAAATCTTTCAATGTTATGTGAAATTTAAGGTTGTACTGACCTGACCAACCATTCATTGGTGACTAAACTGGGTCCCATATGTCCATCCATCCATCCATCCATCCATCCATCTACAGCAGAACCCTGGCCCTTGATGTCTCCATCTCAGACAATTCGCTTCTCAACCCGACAACCTTTCAGGCTGACCCTGTGTGACTGTCACACGTCTCTCAGGAGACAAACAAAGGAGAGAATGCTCAATGTGAGTTTCCTGCTAAACCTCACATCATTGACATCTCAGGAAATTGTGCTTCGAATATTTTCTTGTTTTTTGCTTTTTTTCTGCTTGTTATTATTAAATTTTCTTTTTTTACTGTGCATTTCATTTTCTTTTTGTCAAATCCTCGTTTACATATCATGTCCTTTTTGTTTTTAAGGTGTTTATTTATAGATTAAACTGTACATTAGACATGTGCGTGTAGGAGAGACATTGAAACAGGGACTCACTTGGGGAGTCTGCAAGGCACTGATTCAATTTACATTATTTCTAAAGGAAACATGATTCAAACAGCCTTCCAGAATGAGTCATGTCTGAGAACCGAGGTTCCACTGTATTCATGTTCAGTTCATCTGTATGAGCATCTACAATGTGTCGGATACACTGCTAAGACTGTGAGGTCTTTTATGTTTTTATATTATCCACCATGAGGAAGATTATGAAAACACGTATTATTTGACATTGAAAATGCTCATTTTTCAAATGTTTTAGCCTGAAAGGTTAGGAGCCAGGAAAGCAATTCTTGGCTTTTCTTTTTCCAAAGACTGTTTCTGTCGGGAAGCTTTTCAGCACCTTGGCTCAGCTTAGGAAGAGAAATGAGTCAACTTCCACACTAATTTACTCTGCAAGAGTCAGCATGATGTATGCTGCTTGCTTATTGCTCAAATACGCAGTCAGAATGGACTGTGTGATTACTCTGAGACAGAATTAAATTCAGATCATTGTATTTGTCCTTAATCATTTTTTACCAGCCCATCTCTTCCCTGACATGATTCATATGGAGCCTGACATGGATTCTTTAAAACAAATGAGTAAATAAAAAGAAAGACAGAAAGATGGGTTGAGAGCAGGAACCAACACCAAAATAAAGTGTGCTTTCACACACTCTCATTCTTCGTCTCTCCATCTCTCCCTGTCTCTCTCTCATACACTTCTGAGCACACTCCTGAGAATTTCAGCCCATCGAATGACCATGAACCAGGTCTTGGGCGCAGGGCTGAGCGCAGTGCCACCGGCCCCCCAGCCAAGGCGGTGCCCAGGGCTTCCTCTCTGAGGGAAGCGCGTGCCCCCAAGAAGCACTGTGAAAGCTGGGCGGCAGGTCAGCAGATAAAGCTCCCTGGCGCTCACTCTCGCTCTCCCCTTCCTCATAACTATGCACCTGCAGGGAACCTGGCCCTCGTCCTGCAGCGTGTTCCGTATTTGCACATTAGTCCGTTCCGGTGCCCACCCTACCGGGAGTCCCTCAGGGTCGCTGGCTCAGCCCTGGGAGACACCCCCAGACAGCAGCTCCTGCCTGCACCGCGCAGCTCCTGTGGAGCGCGGCCTCCAGGGTCCCTGCCGTGGTTCCTCTCTCCCGCCCTCCGTGCAGGACGGAACGTCCTTTGACCTGCGGTCTGTCCTGCGGTCAGAGTTTCCCCACATCCGCTTGTTTTCCATCACTGGTCTTACTTGGGGTGTGGGGGGTGTAAAGGAATGCAAAAGCCTGTTATAGTGTGAGGCCGGGGGTTACACCAAGCAGACACACCCAGAGAAACAGGCCCTTCCTCAGCCCATGCCCTCGCTCCCAGCCCCTTTCCCATTCACCCCTACACGTAACCCACCGCTGGTGTCTGTCCTCCGCTCCTGCCTTTCTGTTCTCCGCAGATGAGGAGCCCACACCACTTCCCCGTGCCCCTTTCTAGATGCCGATCGCGCCTGAGGGGCCCCTGTGGGCTCTGCGTAGCTCAGTCATGGGAGCCACTCCTGTCGGTGACGGACACCTTCCCGGTTCGGGACGGCGGTCATGCCTGTAGGACGTGTCACACTCACTCATCCTTGCGCTGCTCCCCGGCTGTTGCAACTGCAGAGCTGCAGTGCACACAGCTCGGCGGGGTGTCTGTGTCCTTGGGGTGGGTCTTCCAGGAAGTGAACGGGTCCACAGCTCGGGGTGGGTTGCACAGCAGGCACTGCAGCCTCGCCAGCACGACAGCCACGACAATTTCCTTGCTTCCTTGTTCGGGCCAAGTTACATCGGGAAGGATACCTCAGTACGTTTCACTTTGCATTTCTCAGACCTTGTTTGTTCAGTACTTTTTATGTGTTCGAGGGCCATTTTAATATCTTTTCAGACACTTGTCTGCTCATCTGCCGCCTCTTCTGCGCATTGCGGACAGCGCCGCCGCTCTCGTCCTGAACTGTTTAACTTCTGGCAAAGGGCTCTTCAGCTTTCTGTTAAGATTTTTATCCATTATGGCCTTTAAGTGCACAGGCAGTATTTTGTTGGTGTGGTGTTCTGCATATAATCAATTAAGAATGAAAGAATGTAGGTGATGTTTGAAAGGAAAAAGTGTTTCTCTTCTTTCAATCTCTCTCTGTGTCTCTTTCCATCTTTTCCTCTCACGCTCCTTCAACCTCTCCATCTCAGTCTCTCTCTGTCTTTCTCAATCTCTCTCAACCTCCCCTTCTCTCTCTTCCTTTTGGTTCAACGCAAACCACAGATGGAACCTGGCCTTGAAGCCACCCGTGTTGGAAAGGCCGAGGCCTGGCACTGTGCTTAGGAAAACGTAACCGTCTGTGAGGAAATCGGAGGTGGAGCTTTAAACCAGGGGGGTTTATTGCCGCACAGCTGGGCATTTCAATGTTTAATTTTGATGGTCCTGAATATTTTTAACAATTGATTCAGAGACTCCTCCGCAGGCTCCCCTTGGGGAAGGTTTCCTATTTGGGTTCAGCATGAGAACCTGAGTCCACTCCGCCCCTGAGGAACCCGGTCCGAGGAGAATGTGACCCTGGTAGGGGAGGAGGGAGGCTCCGGGGCAGAACAAATTACAGCTCTTGACTCTCTGTTCCACCACTTTGCTCTCTTTGTCCTGTTTTCCAGGGACCCTCAGCGTCTGGACCCCCCGGAGGTGAGCGACGCGAAGCTGCAGTACGCAGGCTGGGGCCCCAAAGGCCAGCAGCTGGTAAGCAAGCGCGTGCGCGGCCTGTCCTCAGTGAGGGTGACGCTGCAGCCTGACGGTCCCACCCGCTGGTGTGCATGGGTGGACGGCATCACGCTTTCCCAACAGAGAATTCTCTTAGAACTGGCACCGGCCCTGGCCGTGGTCTCAGGGTCAGAGTGTCAGCACATGACCAAAGGGTCTCAGGTGCGATCACTGGTCAAGGGCACGTGTGTGGATCTCAGGTTCGCTCCCGGGCCCCGTCAGAGCGCATGGGGGAGGCAGCCAATCACTGTGTCTCTCTCACATCAGCGTTTCTCTCTGTATCTCTTCCCACTCTCCTTCCCTCCCTTCCACTCTCTAAAAATCGATGAAAAAATGCCCCCGGGAGAGGAATGAAAAAACAACCCCGGGACCACGTTTGCTTTGGTTTCCACGTACACCATCCTGGCCTGGTCCCCGGCCTGTGGGCGTGGCTACAGATGTGCCTGGGGGAGGGGGATTAAGCTCAGGGGGAGGCCTGCCATGGAGCAGCCTCACACCTGCTCCTGTGGGAACGCTGGCTCCTTTTTCTGGAGGGTTTGAGGAAGAAGGTAGATTAGTGGTCACGGTGGGGCTCGGCCCCCGAACCATGAAGCAGCATCCAGTGCAGGACCCCATGGCTGGTGCACCTCTAGGCTCTGCATCCAACGAGGCCTGGTGGAGGCTCCGAGGGAGGCGTGGGGGGACTGGGTTCTGGACCTGGCTGTCCCCTGTCTTCCTGTGGGCCTGCCCCCCACCATTGGGCTCCGTCAGCCCCGAGCACTGAGGGGAGGATGGGGCAGGAGGACCTCCAGGTCTGCTCCCACTCCCGCTCACTGTCTAAGCCCTTTATCTCCAGAGATCATGCTGTGCCTCCTCCCCTTGCAGAAAGTCCCGTTTGAAGGTCACATGTCTCGGTTGCTGCCTTTGAGTCGCCATCTCCCTCTGTACGTTGAAGCTGGGCGCTCAGGCTGCACTTAAAGGCCCTTTCCCCAAAACGGCCCTTTCCCCAAAACGGCACGGGAGCAGGCCTTGCAGTGAACGGGAGTGAGCAGCACAGAATCCTGGGGGAACCAGGCATGTTTCCCTGCAGGCCATCCCTTGTCCTGTTGTGAGTTCATTCCACTGCCTCACATTGATTAAAGAAGCAGGCATGTGTGGGTCACAAAGCTATTTGAGCTGTCTTTGACATGTCCCTGATGCTAAGAGCTGGGGACCAGGTTTGGAAAGCAGTTATCTGATCCACATGGAAGTGTGAGGGGTCTGACGCCAATCTATCCCTCGGTCATGGCGAGGACACAGTCCATCTCTCCCCGAACGCTCCGGCCACGGAGAACCCAGCACAGGGTCACAGGTGGTGCACATGAAGTGCATAGATGGAGGCACACGTTCAGGGGTCCCCGCGCAGGTGAGGAGCCTTCTCGGGGATTTCTGAGCTTTCACACTTTTGGGGGCGCTGAGTTTTTTGTCCTGCCGCTCTCATACCGAGTGGAGTAAACGCTGCCACTCACCTCCAAGAGCACGTCCTGGGCAGAGGCGGCAGCAAGCATGTCCGGTGAGGGCTGGTGGCTAATCAGATGGGACACAAATGGAACACGTGTCCAATAAAATTTGTTTACCAAGGTGGGTGTCTGGGCAGCAGCTGTGGTTTGCTGAGCCCTTGACCATCTTGGCTGGGAAAGCTGACCCAGGACCAGCACCCCGAGGACAGGACCCTGGACAGCTCCTGACAGACAGCTCTGGACAGACAGCTCCCCACAGACAGGCCCCCACAGACAGGCCCCCACAGACAGACAGGCCCCCACAGACAGCTCCCCACAGACAGACAGCTCCCCACAGACAGCTCCCACAGACAGGCCCCCACAGACAGCTCCCCACAGACAGCTCCCCACAGAGAGGCCCCCACAGACAGGCCCCACAGACAACTCCGGACAGACAGCTCCCCACAGACAGGCCCCCACAGACAGCTCCGGACAAACAGCTCCCCACAGACAGGCCCCCACAGACAGACAGCTCCCCACAGACAGGCCCCCACAGACAGACAGCTCCCCACAGACAGGCCCCCACAGACAGGCCCCCACAGACAGCTCCCCACAGACAGCTCCCCACAGACAGGCCCCCACAGACAGCTCCCCACAGACAGCTCCCCACAGACAGCTCCCCACAGACAGCTCCCCACAGACAGGCCCCCACAGACAGGCCCCCACAGACAGCTCCCCACAGACAGCTCCCCACAGACAGGCCCCCACAGACAGGCCCCCACAGACAGCTCCCCACAGATAGCTCCCCACAGACAGCTCCCCACAGACAGGCCCCCACAGACAGCTCCCCACAGACAGCTCCCCACAGACAGCTCCCCACAGACAGGCCCCACAGACAGCACAGACAGCTCCCCACAGACAGCTCCCCACAGACAGCTCCCCACAGACAGCTCCCCACAGACAGCTCCCCACAGACAGGCCCCACAGACAGCTCCCCACAGACAGGCCCCCACAGACAGGCCCCCACAGACAGGCCCCCACAGACAGGCCCCCACAGACAGCTCCCCACAGACAGCTCCCCACAGACAGGCCCCCACAGACAGCTCCCCACAGACAGCTCCCCACAGACAGCTCCCCACAGACAGGCCCCCACAGACAGCTCCCCACAGTCAGCTCCCCACAGACAGCTCCCCACAGACAGGCCCCACAGACAGCTCCCCACAGACAGCTCCCCACAGACAGGCCCCCACAGACAGCTCCCCACAGACAGGCCCCCACAGACAGCTCCCCACAGACAGGCCCCCACAGACAGCTCCCCACAGACAGCTCCCCACAGACAGCTCCCCACAGACAGGCCCCACATACAGGCCCCCACAGACAGCTCCCCACAGTCAGCTCCCCACAGACAGCTCCCCACAGACAGGCCCCACAGACAGCTCCCCACAGACAGCTCCCCACAGACAGGCCCCCACAGACAGCTCCCCACAGACAGGCCCCCACAGACAGCTCCCCACAGACAGGCCCCCATAGACAGGCCCACAGACAGGCCCCCACAGACAGGCCCCCACAGACAGGCCCCCACAGACAGCTCCCCACAGACAGGCCCCCACAGACAGGCGCTCCTTCTCTCGGATGGAAGCAGGCTCGCACACTAACAGGTCCTCGTTGCCCTTTGCCCTAAGAGATAACTGCCTCCCAAGGAAATACACTTAGTTACGAGGACGCCCCCGGAGCAGACAGCTGCAGGGAAGTCCGTTCCCGGCTCCAGCACTGACCCTCCATGTGCTGAGTGACTTCCGCGATGCCTGGGGCTGGGACCCATCACCCAGGAGGAAGGTGCCGGCACCAGGCGGGTCACCTGCAGCTGCTCCCGCTGTGGCATGGCTCTGAGCAGCGGCCCTGAGCTTAGAGAGACCTGGTTGGCCTTTGTGCACACCCTGGCCGTGGTGCTGCCCACCGTGCACTGTGGAGGGGAGGGAGGAGGAGCGTGGACATGCGGAGCTTCGTCCCCCCTCGACGGTGCTGATCTGTGGCCTCCGGGTTCCTTACACAATCAGACGTTACCCACTGAGCCTCACCTAGGAGGGTGATCTGGCCAATCAGACAGGTTCCGTGAGGAATGCATGCGGCCTGGGGAGGGGATGTCGCCCCCTCCCTCTCCACCGGGAAGGAGCCCGTGGAACAGCGGCACCCACAGAACACGGACATGGTCTCAGACCTACTCTGAGTAAGCTGTCCCCTGTCCCTCTGCCTGGCCTCTGCCTGAGTGCAGAGCTTCCTCAGACACCCTCCGCTTCCAGTCACTCTCAGAGACGTCCCCACCCCCTGCCCGCCCCCCACACACACCTGGTGTCCGTCACAGCGGTGAGGAGGCGGCATTGGCCTGTGTGGGCTCCTGTTTTGTTTTGTTTTGTTGGTGCTAATATATTCTTTAATAGCATAATGTAGTAATCATGGAATTATTGCTAAAGTAGTTTAAAAAAAAAAAGAAAAATTAAGCTGATCAAACTAGTGTCAATTTACAATTTCAAGATTATTTTACAAAACACCTACTTTTTTTACACAATAAGCTCATGGCAGCATTTTCATATGAAAGTACTTTTAAATTTATTCTGACATGCTCTAAATGAATAAATTACAGTTTAAAAATGTCAACAGATCTTTCTCTTGGGTCAGAAAAAGAATAGCGGCTGATAAGATTGAGGGAAGTGGGTTAAGAGAGGGTCAGTGATCACATCAATCTCACGTGGTGTGATGTTCTCCAAAGTTAAGAATCAATCTGCTCAGAGCCAATTAACAAAAAATTTAAAGAAAAACTTTATTCCGCAGTTAAACCCTTTAACGCTTTCATTTATTCAAAATCAGCCCGCTGTTTGTCTAAGGCGCTGGAGTTATAATAACCAAGTCCTAGCAGGCACTAGGTATTTGTGCCTGCAAGTCATTTAAAAAGGAAAAAAAATAAAAAATAAAAAACAATACCTTTCTTCTTTAGACCAAAACAGTTTAATGTGAATAAGAGTTTTAATACTAAACCTAAAATGATTTGCAAAGGGGTTTTGTGTAACAAGTGGCTTGAAGTAGTCTACTGAAAAAATTGGGCAGATTGTTATTTCATAGAGACTCAGCAAGGCATTTTTCGTTGTTTAAAAAAAATCCCTCATTTCCTTAAAGAAACAGTTTTTAGTTTTTAATGAACTTATAAACAAAATGCTCCCATTTCAAAATAAAAACAAAATCCCAGATCATATAGATGTTTACAGTGATTACATTTATCTAAGAAACATACATACATATTCAGTTTTAAGATGTTCACTAAGTTTCTGTGACAAATGTGCTTTTTTTAAATACCAAGAACATTATAGAGCCAATGCAGAGTCCTGAGGATAATCAGTAGTCACTAAGTTTTTCTTAAGTCTTCACTTTAGATGCTTTATTCCTCACACAGGTGAGCAGGCAGTCTTTCAGAGGCTCAAACCCTGGAATCTTTGGTTGCTACCCTATCAGCTGGCTTGCAAACAAGAA